GGTAGGTAGGTAGGTAGGTAGGTAGGTAGGTAGGTGGTAGGTAGGTCGGTAGGTAGGTAGGTAGGTAGGTAGGTAGGTAGGTAGGTAAGTAGGTAGGTAGGTAGGTAGGCAGGTAGGTAGGCAGGTCGGCAGGTAGGCAGGTAGGGAGGTAGGCAGGTAGGCAGGCAGGAAGGTAGGTAGGCAGGCAGGCAGGCAGGTAGGTAGGTAGGTAGGTAGGTAGGTAGGTAGGTAGGTGGATACATAGTTCGGTAATGTTGGATACATGAACAGATAAATAAATGGATAGATCGGTAATTTGATGGATAAGTGAGAAAAAAGAGTGACAGTGGTCCAGGCAAAATGTGCGTGCTTGTGTCTTTTCAGCGTTGAGGTTGTTTAGGGGGTTCGCTGTTCTAGCATTTTCGACATTTTTGTGGTTTGAGAGTCTTGGTGTCGAAGGATTTACTGTTTGGGTATGTGCAAGTGCAAGGTTTTGGGCTCATCAGTGTGGATGTCTGTCAATGCGGGATAGTGGCATGGGCTTCCGAATGTAGCCTGTTTCCTTAGATGCGGGTGACGTAGAAATTCGGGAACACGTTGCAGAGTTTGGGCGTTTTCGGAAGATCGGTGCATGGCCGGCATCGGTCCGATGTAGCTTGCCTGCCCATCGACAGACGGTTAATGCACGGCAGATCTGTCCTCGTCAATCCACGAAAACTTCCACCCGAACTTCGTGGCCACTGCTTTGATTCGAGGCTCCTCGAAGCGGGCAGAGGCTTATTCTCTAGCGGGCGGTGAAGAGGAGTCGCCACCAATGATTCGACCCTGCGTGCTGCCTCTCGCACTCGCACACGCTCGTTTCCTAGCTGAGCTCAGCGATGCCTCACGCTCCTATTCCTCCCAGGAACTTTTAGCTCCTCGGGCTTGCCACGAAACTTCGGGTGCGCCACAAGCCGCTCGACGTGCCTCGAGCGTCAGGCGCATGGGCTTTATGGCTACCAAATTTCTGCGCTTTGGGTCAGCTTCGGAAAACATAATCTATATGTCACCCCATCCACATCAGCGAAGATACTTGGCGAAAGCCACTTCGCCATGGATCTGCGTCTCCTGTGCCATTGAAACTAGTTACTCGTTGACCTCTTCGGGCAGGTTGTGGACATTCTAGAGACACCTAGCACATCACAATGCAGCTCGAATGCATGAAAGGGTTCTATCGAAATCCCAGACTGAAGGTAAATGTTCAGGGTTGGCCACACTTTCTGTCTGGAGCGTGGCGACTTTACTTTACGAGACATTTGGGCGACGACGCGGACAAAAAGCGGTTACTTACTGCATGGCCTTGTACTTCATTGCCCCAACCTTCGCGGAATCTCCAAGCAGAGCAGCATCAGAAGACTTCGCCACTTGAATCCTGAGTGGCAGCAGATACATACACCATGCGTCGAAGCATAACCAGAGGTATATACATATGTACAAGTGTGTATTATCTCTATATATGTGTCGATGCTGCGTCTGCAGCCAGAAGGGTTCCGCCCGTCACAACTTCTCAGGCACCGACGTTTCCAGCAACTCGTTGTCACTGTACTCGTTCAGCCTGATGTGTTCAGGTGCTACTACGTCAACGTCGCAGGATTCTACAGGCACATGTGTATGTATGTACATATGTATGTAAGTAAGTAAGTAAGTAAGTATGTATGTATGTATGTATGTATGTATGTATGTACATATGTCTGTGTGTATGCATGTATGCATGCATGCATGCATGCATGTATGTATGTATGTATGTATGTATGTATATATATATATATATGCTCACCCCCCCCCCCCATGACAGACCGTCGTGGGGAAGGGGAAGAGCGGTGTCGGTCCCCAGTCATCATTGTC